TACCTTTACTCCACTCATAGCTAGCTTGAGAGTTTGATTAATAACAGAAGCCAGAAAACAGTTTTGAAACTTTTCTATTGGGAAAAAAAATTATCATCCAAATAACAGAACAATTTCCTAGTGGTAAAGGACTCACAAAACCACAGAATGGTTTGGGTTGGAAGGGACCTCAAAGATCATCCAGTTCCACAACCCCCCTGCCATGGGCAGGGACACCTTCCACTAGATCAGGTTGCTCCAAGCCCCATCCAGCCTGGCCTTGAACACTGCCAGGGAGGGGGCAGCCACAACTTCTGAGCAACCTGTTCCAGCGCCTCACCACCCTCACGGTAAAGGACTTCCTTATACCTAATCTAGACCTACCTTCTTTCAGTTTAAAGCCATTTCCCCTTGTCCTATTTTACATGCCCTTGTAAAAAGTAGCATAGCCAAAAAAGCAATGAGAGCTGGAACACAGGTGCCACAGGTACTCACTGCATTTCTGATGAGCGACCTAAAAAGGACCTGGGACTCGCATGAACATTAGGCTGAAGGTAAGCCAACAACACGTTCTCACCACAGATAAAGCAAACTGCATACTTGGCTCCATTAACTTCCCTTGGTTACCAAACCACACCTTTATCTCCCTCTCACCAGTGCTCCTGAAGCTGTACCTGGAACACTGAGTCTGGTTTTAGGTCCCCCACTGCAACAGAGACAGGGAAACTAGAGAGTTACAGTCCAAGGGCTAGAGAACTAGACTTGTGAGGAGAGGTTGAAGCTGGGCTTGTTCATCCCACCAAAAAAGTGGTTAGCAGGGTGATCTGATAGCAACAGGAGAGTTACAATGTGATAAAGTCAACTATTTCTCAGTAGCACCAGGCAACAGTACAAAGGACAAGGACAAGAGAGCACAGCTTGGAAGGCTGAGGCTGGGCTTTACACAGAAGTTTTCACAGGGAGAGCAGCACAGCACTAGTACAGGCTACCAGAGACACATGTGATTTCATGCAGTGTTGACAATGGTCCCAGCTCCGTGCCAATTCAAAATAAAGATATCATAGGTTTAAGCCTCCATTTCATTTTTGGAGGAAAGAAAAAGGGAGTGAATATAGGTTCATATATGACACATTGATTTTACCATGCAAAACTTGACGGCTGCACTACTGCTATGCAATACACAGAAGCAGCCCTCAGATGCAGTAGTTATTCAGATGCTCTGCCCCACGTCTTTAGTTTCAAGAACACTTTGTTCAAGTGTATTACACAGACTTTCAGATTAATCTCCTCAGCTAATACTGAGGCGGATGCCTAATTTGCCCAATGTAAAGTTACACTCTCCTTGGCTCGTTCTCTCCAATGGCAGCCTGCCCTCTGTATTAGCGTACAACTTCCCTGAAACAAGAGAGTGTTGATGTTATAACAAATACAAAATTAGCTCTGCATTTGCAGACTACTCCCAAGAGATATCTTGTTCCTTACGTCACCCTAAGTACTCAAAAGTCAGTTCCCAAAACTCTCCCCTCCTTTCAAGTTATTCTCCCTAGGTAAGGCTCCAGCAAACAGTAACTTGTGTGATTATTACTGCTATTACAGTCTTATTTTGTCTAATTAGTAATTCTTCTAAATTACATGGCTGAAGTGCAGCTGGATAGACGTCATTCAGCAATAAAGGCTTGTTC